TATTCTCAATGATATGAATTGGTTGGGAAGCCAATTTTTCAATAAATGCCAAGTTGTTCAACTACTGTCAGAGTAAAATCAAAATAGTAACCATTTAAAAACATGATCATCATTACCTGATTAGATAAAAGTTAATTCTGGAATAATAACCTTCTCTCTGTCAATCACCCTCTCCAGTTTTTTCTTTGCAACTATTCCAGCAGAGTTTTGTAGTGTTTGGGTTTCATTTCTTTGTATTGAAAATTCAAATAGATACTTTATCCACGTTCCCTCACACTATTTTCCTACCAGATTTATATGGTTGGGTCTTTCTAGATGATGGGTTACCTTACTTCTGAGATTCAGCCATCATACATATGAATATGTATTCATATAGTAAAATATTTCATTTAAATGAACTCTTTTCAATATCTATTTTAATAAATAAAATTTGGGGCTGGGGTTGTGGCTCAGTGGTAGAGCATGTGTGAGTCACTGAGTTCAATTCTCGGCACCACAAATAAATAAACGAATAAAATAAAGGTCCATCAACAACTAAAAAAAATTATAAATAAGTAAATAAATAAAATTTCACAGCACACATTTCGTTTACTAATTTTGCTCTTTTTTATTATTTCGTTCTAGCAATAACCCATTGGGCATATATAGCAAGTATTAGGTCCTTTGTAAAGATAGTCTGTTCATATCAAATTTGGGACAAGTGTTTTCACTGATTGCTTCCTCTCCATTTTCATGAAACTCTGCTTTCCTAGAGCCACCCAGTTAGTCAAAAGTGGTGACAGAATTTAGGCAATGCAGGTAATGCTGTGCATAGATTGATTTGCTTCCAGTGGGATCTAGGGAGGCATCCTATCACTAAATATTTGAATATTTCTGTGTTCATTAATGTGATGGTTTCATTAAGTACAACAAATAAAGATCATAAAGTGTAATCAATGAAAACCATAGCATTATATCTATTCATGTCAGGTGTTGCAGCCAAATAGTTTTAAGGGGTTTTTGGATTTGGGAGTTGCAGATAAAGGATTGTGATTATGTATTCCTCTGGCACTGGTACTATCCACCACTATGTGAAGCAACCATCCTTTAATATGCAATGATTACTTGCACACTTTTTCTCTCTTACTGCAAAGCTTCTCTGTATAGCAAACAAGCTGTTTGTGGCCAACAGAAAGAACATTAACCTTAAGTATTCTTTCTATTGCTTTCATTGTGCACAAGATGCAATTTTCTTTTTTCTTTCACTACTAAGAACTCAATAACACTTTACACAATGTCACTCAAATAATTTTCACCTGTTTCTTTCTTTCAACTTGTTCTCTGACTTCTTTCAGAATGGTCATAAAAAGGTGAAGGAGGAAAAGGATAATACCATATTAAAGAATCCAAGAAAGGAGAATGTGTCAAGAGGATGACAAGTTCCCTACACTGTAAAATGCTTCAAAGACATTTAGGAGGATGAGGACCAAAAAGCTGTGACCTTGATAATCACAATTCACAGTGACCTTTGAGGGAGAAGTTTCCTCACAGTGTGGAATGGAAGTCAGAGTGTAAAGAGTTGAGCAGCAAGTTGATGGTAGTGAAATCAAACAGAGACCTTTTTCTTTCTTTCTTTTCTTTTTTTTTTTTTTTTTTTTGGAAATAGGGTCTCACTATGTTGTCCAGGTTGGTCTCAAATCCATGGGCTCAAGTTATCCTCCTGCCTCAACCTCCCAGGCCTGGGGTTGTGGCTCAGTGGTAGAGCACTTGCTTAGCATGTGTGAGGCAGTGGGTTTGATTCTTTAGATTTATTTTTAATTAACCAGAGTCAATATCCTTTAACAGTTTTCAGACCTTTACCTGCTTATATTTCCTGAATTTAGTATGATATCTTGAATAGAGTGTTGGGAATTCAATAAATTCTTAAGGAAGGGAAAAAGGAAGAGAAAAGGGAAGGAAACTAAGAAAGAAGGAAAAAAGACTATTATGTGTTTGCTTGTGTGAATGAAGTAATGATATATGTGAATTTATGAAATGTAAAATGAGAAAATATTATGTTTAAGGGGCCTCATAAATTTGAAACAAAATCTGGGAATTTTTGAAACTTTGAGTTTCTTTTTTATTCTAAGCCTGTATTTTCTCCTATTTCTTGTTTCTTATCCAGGAATGATGATAAATGTGCACATTTCACACGATGATATTCACATCTGAAATCTGATCAGTTTTGTATTGTTGGAAATGGAACCTAGGGCCTCACACATGCTAGGCAAGCACTCTACCACTGAGATACTTCACAAGCCCACTACTTTCTTTAATGTTATGGTGTCTTGTATTGGTTAGTTCTTGTGGAAAACATGGATGATGAAACTACACAGAAAGAAAAACAAGTTATTGCCATTTACATTTCTTCTATGAAACAAGTCCAGGTATCACAATCCCAGCTAACTCATTCTATACTGACTTGGTTTTCAGATGTTCTGTCTTTCTACTTTCATCAAACAGATTTTGCTATGGATTTGGAGAGTGAAATGACAGCTGTATTTCCACTTGCTTTACAACAGTACATATCACCTCATAATGTGTTCCATCACGGCCCATTACATGATCATTAAATTAAAAATGAGAAGCGTGGTTGATGATTGACTACTCTCTAATTACTCAGAGTGTTTGTTAAAGGCAGTAGGCAGGAGACATAAGCTCTACTTTGCTGTTTATTGATTATGGAGGTTATAGCACATCTCTACTAGCATAAAAATCCTCCCCAACAAGGATGTTTAGTAAAGCAGACATTTCTCAGTAGAAAAAAAAATCCCCTCCCCACCAGAATAAACAGTGAATAAATGATCTAATGATTAAAATGGATTCATCCCAAGCCTTCAAAACAAGAAACATACCTGGAATCAGTTTTTCTCAAGCCTTTTCATAATTGAGACATATTTAGATCTTTTTCCTAATAACTCTCCTATGAAATTTTAATACCTTAGATATATTGTTTCTCTGTTTATTTACTGTGACCTTTCAGAGGGCAACAAATACAAGTGTAACATCTCATCACTTTTGCTATATTCCATTCATTAGAAGCAAGTCATAGGTCTGATATGCACTCGGGGGAGGGCATTACATGAAGGTGTGAACACCAGAGATGTCTTCCTCACTTCCTACAGATGTATCTCCTGAGAGAACTCCCCAATAAACCTACTCATCTTCAAATCCATATCTACTGGACTTGAAGATGTAGGCAGAGAGGTGAGATAGAAGGACTAGCTATAGCCTTGACTATGGGTGACAGTGGCAGAATACATAGCAAATTTTATTTCCATAATCATTATTAGAATTTAGAATGATTTGGGGGCCTATCCAGAAGCAGAATCAAGTCTATATTCCAAAAAGGAAATGAAATCAGTATTTTGAAGACACATTTGCACTCCCATGTTCACTGCAGCACTATTCACAATAGCCAAGAAATGGAAACAACCTAAGTGTCCATCAACTGACGAACAGAAAGAAATCAATATATATGTATACAATAGAATACTACTCAGCCATAAAAAGAATGGATTCCTGTCATTTGTGACATCATGAATGAAACTGGAGATCATCTATGAAGTGAAATAAGCCATGCACAGAAAGATAAGTTCCACATGATCTCACTCATATGTAGAATCTAAAAAGCTAATTTCCAGGGCTGGGGTTGTGGCTCAGTGGTAGAGCGCTTGCTTAGCCTGTGTGAGGCAGTGGGTTTGATTCTCAGCACCACATAAAAATAAATGAATAAAATAAAGGCCCATCGGGCTGGGGATGTGGCTCAAGCGGTAACGCGATCACCTGGCATGCGCAGGGCACTGGGTTCGATCCTCAGCACCACATATAAAAAATAAAATAAAGATGTTGTGTGTCCACCGAAAACTGAAAAATAAATATTAAAAAAATAAAGGCCCATCAACATCGAAAAATTTTTTTAAAAAAAGCCAATCTCCAGGAAGCTGAGCATAGAATGATGATTACCAGAGGCTGAGTATGGGAAAGGAAGGATGAGGAGAGGTTGGTCAAGGGGTACACTAAGTTGTAGTTGGATAGGAGTAAGAAGTTCTGGTGTGCTGTTATTGCACATTAAAGTGACTACAGATAATTATAATGTATTTTTCAAAAAGCTAAGAGAAAAGACTTTCAATGTTTTCACCATAAAGAATGATAAGTGTTTGAGAAGATAGCTATTTTGGCCTGATTTAAACATTATGCAATATATACATATATTGAAACATTACATGGTACCACATAAATATGTACAATTTTATGTCTTTATGTATCAATTAAAAGGTAAATTTAAATCAAAATAAAGTTTTAAAGCTAAAGGTATCCTCAAACAAGGACACAGAGAACAAAAATAAATCATTTCTAAGGTTGAAGATCACATTAAACAGAACTAATAAAAATTAAGACTGTGATCCACAGTGTGAAAATAAATCACAGACCACAATCAGTCACACAATCATAAAGAGGTGATTAGTGCTTTATTAAATTAGCATAGACTGAATTTTTACATATTGTAGAAACAGTCAACAAATAAAACTCTTCTATTAGAGACTGATATTCAGAAACTAGATAAGCAATATATCATGTTGGTATAACAGGAAAATTTCCATCCTGTGAATCAATATTCCCATTTTTATCCATTCTGTTTATAATAATTGCTTTTTACTTTTGCTTAGTCATATACACAGTGATATAAACAATATTAAAAAAGGATCCATTTTCAGTGATTGATATACCATGTTACAGGTATTATCCACTGTAAAATTAATTTTCCTCAGGTCTTTGAAGTGTGAAATATATATATATATATATATATATATATATATATATATATATATACACACACACACATACATATATATATATATATACATACATATATGTATTTCTGACTTTACTTCTAGAAATGCTTAAATCAATAACTACAATACCAAATGACTACATCTACACACTGTATTGTCAGAAAAATATTTTGAGTAGTTGCCACCTATGATTTTAGTAGTCTTCATGGGTAAAATTGATTACCTATCACTTTCAAATACATTCAAAATTTCTTACAAAAGAAGAATGGCAAAATAAAAATATATAATCTGCCCTTGATATTTTAAGATGCTTAGCAGTCACAAAGAAACAAGTGTTAAGTTTCTTGAGGAAGCAGAACAGCAACCCTTCAGAGAGGGGTGAGCCGTTCATCCTCTGTCACAAAAACATCATTAATGTGCCCTCCCTTCAAGTCCAGGGGATCGCAGGGGATGCCATTTTCAATTGTGATGGTGTTTTCACATTTCTCTTCTGCATCATCCACTTCAGATGGTCCTTTGTTCTTCCTAAAAGCATATAAAAAGAATCAGTGGGATCTAGAAGGAGAAAATATGGCTGAGTATGGTCTTTGGTACAAATATGGAGGAGAGAATGGGGCACAGGAGCCTTTAAAGGATGAAATGATCAATATTATATATTTTCAAATAATTTTGAAGACCATAAAGAGCTGGTGAGTTGAAAAGATACTATGTAGATAAGACTTTGTATGGATAATATATACATATTTATAGGAAGAAGTAGTCTTATTTAGAAAACTAAAATAAATGTATACAAATACCTATATAAATGAATATATATATGAATAAATATAGTGCATGCATATACATATATACATGTATATTCACAAAAACTGCATGAAGAAATGTGAGGAAAATGTATGGTACATTGGCAAGTTGAAAAATTGACCTCTAGGAGAACTTAGTAAAAACTGAATTAAAAAAATCAATAAACTGTTCTCATAGGATTTGACAAGTTAATGGTTTGCAAATGTTGACAGAAAATCAAATTGAAATGCCATATTGGAAATAAAGTTCACATTATTTTGTAGAAAGTAATTGTTGTAAGTTGCAGATATCATTGGTTGTCTCTACTAATTACAAAGTAGCTGTCTTAATTTGTAAGTCAGGATTTTTGGACCCAGAACATTCTCCTAATTACATTATAACTCACAGCTGAAAGTACAAATCATTCCAAAAACTTCTACATGACAGGATAAACTTTTTAGTTTCTCATACTCTGAGTCTTTGTAGACCCTGCTACCCCAACCTAAGTGGTAACCAGATCCTTCATGTTTCCTTGGAGTATGGAAAGCTACGGCCTCAAAATCAAAAGTTTTTCCTGTCTCTTATGAAAGACTAACAAACTGAGCCAATTATGTTTGATATTATGGGGCAAGGGAAAGATGAGAGATTGGTGCCTATAGGCAACCAGAGGGAGAGGGGTTTCCCTGAGGGCTCATCACAGGTTGGATTTTGGGACACTACTCTGTGGTGGCACCCTGGAAGCATGATGTTAGGCATGAGATTCTCAGACTTGCCAAAGGTTCTCTTGTACCAAGAATCTGTGGACCTCCAAAGAGGCAGATCTGAAATGATCCTTCATCTAGAATGTTGTACATTCCTGTGGTGATCAGAGTGGACTCCCACTACTGTGGCACCTTGATGAGTCTCTGACAGGTGAAGAGGTAGTGAAGATAAACTGATGATGACTCTGATGGAAGTTCCTGTTAGTCATACTTGAGAAAGCATTTTAATTTGCTTTTTTTTTTTTTTTTTTTTGTACTAGGAATTGAACCCAGGGGCAGTTAGCCACTGAGCCACATTCCCAGCCCCATTTTTTGTATTTTATTAGAGACAGGATCTCACTGAGTTGTTCAGGGCCTCGCTAAATTGCTGAGGCTGCCTTTGAACTTGTGATTCTCCTGCCTCACCCTCCAGAGTCGCTGGGATTACAGGCATGCACCACTGCACCTGGCTCTTATTTGCTTTAAAAAATACAATGGAGGAGTTTAAGCCTGTAATCCCAGCAACTCAGGAGGCTGAAGCAGGAGGATCCCAAGTGCAATGCCAACTTGGGCAATTTAGTGAGACCCTGTCTCGAAATAAAATTTAAAAGCAGGTCTGCGAGTATAGCTCAGTGGTAGAGTACTTGCCTAGCATGTGCTAGGCCCTGGTTTAATTACCACCAAAAAGAAAATAGTAGAGAAAAGAGAAAGTTTCTCTCTCTCTCTCTCTCTCTTTCTCTCTCTCTCTCTCTTTTTGGTGGGAGCTGGTTGAATTGTCTTTATTAACAAACGGGATATCTAAGGCCACTACATTGAGGAAGGGCAAGGGAAGGAGAAGGGCTACTTGCTGCTCACACTATATACAGATGCAAGCAAGGGGGGGCACGGAGGGCGAGAGCTTCCTGCTCCCTCCCTCCACCAGGGAAGGGGAGAGGCTAGAAGAGATGGGGGCTAGGAAGGGGGGAATGTTTTGGCTGGCAGGGTCCCCACTCCATTCCCTGGGGCTTGGGGGGAATCATTAAAGTGCTGAGAAAGCTCTTCTTTACAGAAGAATGCCAAATAATATAGAAAGGGTAATAGGAATACAAAACCACAACTGTAGTAATAATTGATTCCAATGGAGCTCATCAATAGATACTAGTAAGAGATTATTGGGGAACAGGATATTCACATGGTCTCAAAATATCTGCTCCACAAATAATGTATTAATTACAAAAAAGACACTTCTATTTTGCCAAAGAGGAAATCTGATGAACTCCACCAACAATTAGACAAACTGACAAGTGCCTTCAGATATGATAAAAATGATTCCAGATACATGTTTTTTTTTTTTTTTTTTTTTTTTTTTTTTTTGTATTCATGCACCACCCATTCTCGATTTTTTTCTTGTTTTGGTCCTGGGACTTGAAACCAGGGGCACTTTACCACTGAGCTACATCCTCAGTCCTTTTTGTTTTCAAATTTTTGTTTATTTTATTTTTGTTGTTTTGAGACATGATTCACTATATTGCTTAGTGCCTCACTAAATTGGTGAATCTGATCTCAAACTTGTGATCCACCTGCCTGAGTCTTCCAAGTCACTAGTATCATTAGAAGCATGCACCACCATACCAACTCTGTTCTCAATTTTTGACCTGAATTTCATAATGAGGAACTCATCAGAAAAATCCAAATTTAAAACAATTGACCTAGACTCAACCCAGCATAGGAACTCAACTCAGTGAATAATGGATCAATGGATGTAGATCAATAGCTGGTTGGCTATAACAAATTAGTGGATGGATGGATAGATGATAGATGGGTGGTCAGACAAATGAATGGATGGATGATGCATGGACTAATGCTTCAGGCAAAGTTACTCAAACATTAGTCCAACGTAGATCTTGAATGGGATCCACCACACACACATACACACATAGACAAATAAGTAAAAAAAGGAGGAAGGGAGAGAGGAAGGGAAGGGAAAAAAACAGAGGAAGGAAGGGCATATGAAATTTTTTGTCTCATATTTTTAATGGGTGGCAGAAAATATGCATTTTCCTATATTAGATTAGGAATTAGTGTGGGTTTTACCAGAATTCACTGATAATTTGCTAAATTATTTCAAATAGTTGAAGTTCATAAAGGAAAGTAGCATTCCAATGTCATCATTTGAAAGTATTTAGCCATTATGTATTCCACCATCAAATGCTACAAGTGACACTATAGGCAATCACTAAATTGGAATCATTGGATATTAAACATTAATTTGTAAAACCTTTGGGTCAATGCTGGTTAAAAGATGAGGTTGCAGTCCCAGAAACCTAGGAATAAATAGGCTGCTGTGTTTTCTCATATTCCAGATGAAGATTCACTAGCCATTCTAAACACTAGCAATCGATGATCACCACAGGTTAGGGTACACTAGATTTCAGTATGATGAGAGGGCCCTTCAGCCAAGTTAAATCACCCACTGAAAAACTAGAACATTTAGCCCCTCCTCCTGTGGACAGGAGTATTAGCCCTTTCCAGATCCCCCAGAAAGCGAAAGCAATTGACATTCTATAGTCATCAGTCACATCGCTTCCACTTATAGTATCCAACATTGCTTAACTATGTTTTGAACGCCTACCTGTGGATGAGACACAAGTCTCCTAAAGGAAAGAACTTGATGAAAGGAAAAAGTCTTCAAATTCACTCATCTTCCTTCTCCTCATTTTTAATGCTTTATAAAAGAGAAGAGTGATTTTTAGAGGAATTAAATGCTAGTAAGAAATGTACATTTATAAATTGTAATGAAAAATGCCTAGTTCACAAAAAGTGTCTCCAAATCTCTCCTCATTGCCGTTGGAGTGAATGATAATTTTCTATGACAATGGATTTTAAATAGTCAAATTTTATCCTGAATTTTCTGTTCTGAAATCTGTATATCAAAAATCTTAGTAGATGTAGCATTCTAAAGTAAGTGGCAATGCAATGGTAGTCTTAGAAATAATGAACGGCCAGTGTCTATTTGCCAATTTTAAAAACAAAAGATGTTTTTATAGAATTAGAAGACAAATGGCAGAGAGCTGAACATGTGCAGGTCAAAGTAAGGAATATTGCCTCCTCCTCCTCATCCAGGAAGGAAAAATAATCCATCAGGCATCACAGTGAATAGGAAAGAAAGAAAAGGAAGAAGCAAAGAGATGAAGAGACATTTCTTTTTTCTTAGAAAAAGGATAATTTCCCAACAAAAAGCTTCTGAGAGAAATTGCTGAGGAAATTTGTCCAATTGAGCTGTGTCAGTGACAAATTAGGTACTTATTGGTTTTTGCGACCTTAGATCCCGTTGTTCAGAGTCTTGGCATTGCAGGGCTTCACAAACTGCAATGTCAGTAACTTGCTAGCTGGTAGACATGATAAGCAGCTCAAAGGTTATCTAACAGTAATATAGCACTTTGTCACATTTCATAGTGCGCACTGTAATAAACTGATTCATTGCCTGTGCAGTGATACTGAGAATAATAAAACTTAACTGTCTTTCTGGATCATTCTGATTTGATATTCTGCTAAAAAAAAATGTGAGTTCTTTTTCCTGCAAAATTGAGTGTTAATGACTTTCACTGTTCCTGCAATGTCAGGTGGTTCAAGAAGAGCATGAAAAAACCATTACTAAACTACCTCTTAGCAGCCTTGAGAGTGGATGTCTCTGATAAATCCAGAAAGAAAAGAATCGAAGGAGGAGACAAAAGAAATTTCAGTGTTTGAAATATGTTATTCCAGGATCTTCTAGCTTTCAGAGTCTGTGTTGAGAGATCAGCTGTTATCCTGATTGTGAAATATGATGTATTAAGAACTATGTAATGTTTTGAACGACCAACAATAAAAAAAAAAAAAAAGAAATCTCAGGTAGCCCTTAGGGCTCCGGTGGGGGTGTGGGGGGGTTGAAGAACAGGGTTTGCTCTGTTCTGAAATAAAGTAGTGATGACTAAAAGCAGAAAAAGTATTTCTGTATCACTTTAAATAAAACATGGCTGAAGA